GTTCATTACATTATGTACAATCGGAGTCATCTAAAAGAATGAAAGGGATAGACTTACATACCTTGTATATACTTCCTAACCTCAAGCTATGCAAATGTCACGACTCCTTAGTCTACAATAAGAGAAATGACACTATCGTTATCGTTTAAGCATCGTAACTATTATGTATCGACCGCAATCTATTTTACGATGAAATAGACAACACCTCCCCTATTTATATGACTTCCCACAAGTCAATACAATCACCAAATAGACCAAACAACATCAACAATAATCATATTGAGCGTCCCAAAATAGTCCACCAACTGACAACATTACTACCAAGCCTTTCGATATATATTTCACAAGTTCTAGCTTGAACGACTTAGCCGCAACTTGAAAAATCTTAAATACATATAGAGTAAGAGGTTCCTTACCTTTAAACGGAAAGAACAACTCCAATTTGACCTTAATTGTCCACGAAATATCCCTCCAATGCTGCCACAAGAACAAGGAAGCGAAACTTGCAATCAATTCGGATTTTTCGGCACTAGAATTACTTTAGAAGGCTTGAAATCACCTAGGGTTGATATTAAAAACTTGAGGGAGTATTTACAGAACAGAAAACATTTAAAAACAACCTCCCACACCAGCTGTAACAACATAAAAATCAGAAACAACAAGAAGAGCAAGAAACTTACTAGCTCCACGGGATTCCCGACACTTGATTTGTGTTGTTTGCCCTTTGTTTGGGTCTTGAATCATGAGGGAACCTTGAGAGATTATTTTTAGGTTTCTAAGGTCTGAATATACTGAAAAAGAATGACTTAAAACTGGGTTGAGGCATCTTATATATATCCATATGTCTTAAACCGCCTATGTGGGCCCCATAGAGAGCTGCTTGGCGCAGTCTCGCGAAAACGCGAATATCTCTCTATTTCGATATCGTATCGATGAACGGTTTAATGTGCTGGAAATTAGACTCATAGATATTCAATTTTGTGGTATATCACCTCGTAATTCTAAGTACATTGGGAGAAAAACATAGTAACATTTTACCTGAAGTGTAAGTAAAATTATAAACGTAAGTTGCGACAACTTTTGTCGACTTTTGTTTTATAACTCGCTTGACTTCAACACTTATGATAAGGATATTATATGATTCAAATACATTAAAACATGACCTCTTGGGACAATTAATCACCTCTAGTTTTACCCAAAAATATGGGTTACAACATCCTTGATTCGTTTAACTTCTAATACTTGTTAACCACTCTTATACACCCTTGTATCGTTTAAGACCAATAAGATTAACTTCTTATCATCTCAAAGATAATCTCTTCTCGGATTTACGTCGACTAACTTACGACATGATCTAAGGTACGCGAATTTGGGTTGTAACAGGTTTGATACTGGCCTATAAATCTAAGTTAGCACATTTTACTATTGCCTCGTTAAAAACCTTACCGAAAAACCCATTTTGGGACAAAACAGTTTCAAGAGAAAAAGAGTGCAACTCGTGATTTCTAACCTAATAGCCACATCTATCCTTGATCATTGCCTGCAAGTTATTCCGATTCATAACATGATTAAAGAGTATTTAAGATCATGCCTTAGCAGTAGTACTGCTTTAAGTGTGTTACGTTCTAGTTATTCTGTAATTGCACACCGTTTCCCGCTTCGAGTTTGTATGAGCCTTTGCCGGTAATTCTGATAACTCGATACGGTCCTTCCCAGTTCGGTCCTAGCTTTCCCTTGATTGGGTTCTGGGTGTGTAATGTTACTTTACTCAACACCAAGTCCTCGATCATGAAATGTCGGAGGCTGGTTCTTTGATTGTAGTATCTTTCTATCAGCTATTTCTGGGCGTCCAACCGAACTAAAGCTGCCTCATGCCTTTTATCCAATAGTGCTAGGCTCGTGACCATGGCCTTGGCATTTAAATCTTCGGTCGCATATTGGAATCTAAGGCTCGGCTCTCCCAGCTCGACTGGTATTAAGGCTTTGGTCCCGTAGACCAACAAAAATGGAGTGGCCCCGGTACTAGATTTCGAGGTTGTATGATATGCCCATAGGACTTCGGGCAAGATTTCCTTCCATTTCCCTTTGGCATCAATCAATCTCCTTTTAAGGTTTTGAAGTATGGTCTTATTTGTTGACTCCGCCTATCCGTTCCCACTAGGGTGGTAAGGTGTTGACAATATTTTTTTAATCTTGTGATCTTCGAAAAATTTGTTTACCTTACTGCCGATGAATTTCTTCCCGTTATTGCACACGACTTCGGACGGTATCCCAAATCGACATATTATGTGGCCCCAGATGAAGTCAATGACTTCTTTCTCTCGGACCTTTTCGAATGCTTGAGCCTCGACCCATTAGGAAAAATAGTCAGTCATGAATAGTATGAATTGGGCTTTACCGGGTGCCCATGGCAGGGAACTGACGATGTCCATCCCCCATTTCATCAACAACCAAGGGGACAGGACTGAGTGTAGTAGCTTTTTCAGTTGATGGATCATCGGTGTGTGTCTCTAGTAGCCATCACATTTTCGTACGAAGTCCTTCTCATCCTTCTCCATTTTGGTCCAATAATAGCCAACACTGATTAATTTCCGAACCAAAGACTTTGCCCCCGAATGTTTATTGCAAGTACCTTGGTGAACTTCTCTCAAGGCGTACTCGGTATTTTCCGGCCCCAAGCATCTAGCTAACGGGTCGTCGAACATTCTCCTAAACAATGACCCTTCGATCAAGCTAAATCGACCAGCCTTGGTACGTAGGGCTCTCGATTCTTTGGGATCCAAGGGCAATTTCCTAGTTTTCAAGTAGTCTATGTACTTGTTCCTCCAATCCCAGGTTAAACTCGTTGAGTTTACTTCGGCGTGGCCTTCTTTTATCACCGACTTCATGAGTTGTATGATTGTTCCCGAACTGAATTCATCATCATCAACCGATGACCCCAAGTTAGCTAGAGCATTAGCCTCGTTGTTTTGATCTCAGGGCATATGCTGTAGGGTCCATTCCTTGAATTGATGCAATGTTACTAGTAACTTGTCTAAATACCTTTGCATTTGTTCCTCTTTCACTTCAAAAGTCCCATTGACTTGATTTACCACGAGGAGGGAATCACACTTAGCTTCGACCACCTCGGCCCCAAGGCTTTTAGCCAATTCGAGACCTGCAATCATGGCCTCGTACTCGGCCTCATTGTTAGTCAATTTCATAGTTCTAATAGACTACCTAACTACATTCCCCGTAGGAGGTTTCAGCAAGATGCCGAGCTCGGAACCCTTTGCGTTTGAGGCACTATCCATAAAAGGGTCCAAATTCGAGAGGTAGTCCCCAAGGCTAACAATAATTCTCTTTAGACTTCGGGCATTAAGTCCGGCATAAAGTCGGCCAACATTTGAGATTTTATGGCGGTTCGGGGTCGATACTCGATATCGTACCCGCTAATTTTGATGGCCTCTTTGGCCAACTGGCCCGAGAGCTTGGGCTTGTGCATGATGTTCTTTAGTGGGTAAGAGGTTACAACACATATGGGGTGACATTGAAAGTGTGGTTTTAACTTTCTGGAGGCGCTTAGCAAAGCGAGCGCCAATTTATCCAGGTGAGGATATCTTGTTTCGGCCTTGCCTAGAGTTCTACTAACATAGTAAATAGGGAATTGCGTACCTTCCTCTTCTCGAACTAAGAGTCCACTTACCGCCACCAACGGAAACCACCAAGTAAAGGTACAGCTATTCATCCGCCTTCAGATGTGGAGCAGGGGTGGACTCGAGAGGTACCGTTTGAGTTCTTCCAAAGCTTGTTGGCATTCCGAGATCCACAAAAAGTTACTCTTCTTCTTCTTCAACAGTGAGAAGAACTGATGGCTTTTGTCTGAGGACCTCGATATGAATCAGACCAGGGCGGCTATACACCCGGTCAGCCTTTGAACGGCCTTGACATTGTCCACCATGATTATGTCTTCTATGGATTTGATTTTGTCGGGATTGATCTCGATCCCTCGATTGGATACCATGAACCTAAGGAATTTTCCGGATCCAACTTCGAATGCGCACTTTTTCGGGTTCAGCTTCATATTGTATATCTTTAATATGTTGAAGGTTTCCTGCAAATGTTTCAAATGGTCCTCTGCTCGCAGGGATTTGACTAACATGTCGTCAATATAAACTTCCATTGATGTTCCTATATGTTATTCGAACATCCGGTTTACTAGGCGTTGATAAGTGGCACTGACATTCTTTAATCCAACAGCATTATGTTATAACAATAGGTGCCGAGTTTAGTGATAAAGGAAGTTTTTTCTTGATCGCCCAGGTCCATCCGAATTTGGTTATACCCAAAATAGGCTTTGAAAAAATTGAGTATCTCGTGTCCGGCCGCTGCGTCGATCATCCTATCGATGGTAGGCAAAGGAAAAGAATCCTTAGGGCATGCCTTGTTCAGATCTTTATAATCTACACACATTCTTAGCTTATTTCCTTTCTTAGGTACTACCACTACGTTGGCTAATCAGTACGGGTACTTAACTTCCCGAATGGATCCTATTTTAAAGGGTTTAGATTCCTCATCCTTGATGAATGTGTGCTTGACCTCGGATTGCGGTCTCCTTTTCTGCTTAACTGGATGGAAATTCGGGTCCAAACTCAGCTTATGAGTGGTTACCTCCGGTGAGATTCCTGTCATGTCAAGATGGGACCAAGCGAAATAATCTATGTTAGCTACAAAAAATTTAATGAGGTTTTTGCTGAGCTCAGGAGTTAACCCCGTGCCCAGGTATACCTTCCGATCGGGTAAGTGTTCGATCAATATGACTTGCTCCAACTCCTCGACTGTCGATTTGGTGGCATTGGAATCGTCGAGAGCAATGAACGACCTAGGAACTTCATAATCATCCTCCTTGTCTACTCCGCGCTCTTCTGGTTCGGTCGTGGCCGATATCAGTGATTGCTATTTAATTTCTTCCTTCCCGGTCGGCTCTATGTTCTTTGATGTCGAGATTACGGGCACTAGGATCACCTCGTCGACTGCGAACATTTCTTTTGCGGTCGGCTTCTCTCCGTAGACCGTATTGATTCCTCCCGGCATAGGGACTTCAGTGCCTGGTGTAGTGTTGAGAGTACTGCTCTCATGTTGTCAACCCATGGCCTTCTGAATAAGGCGTTATACCTCATGTCCCCTTCGATCACGTAGAATTTTGTATCTTGAATTGTCCCGACGGTATTCACTAGCAAGGTTATTTCTCCTTTAGTAGTTTCACATGCCATGTTAAATCCGTTCAACTCCCGAACCGCTGGTACTATTTGATCTTGTAACCCCAACAGCTCTACGACCCTTGATCTAATGATATTGGCAGAGCTGCCTGGATCAATCAACACACGTTTAACTCGAGATTTGTTGATAAGAACGGATATTACCAGTGCATCATTATGAGGCTGCACGATGCCTTTGGCATCCTCTTCGCTGAACAAAATGCTTCCCTCCGGGATGTAATCTCGGGTGCGCTTTTCCCTCATGATGGATACTTTAGTGTGCTTTATCATCGGTCCCTGGGGGATATCGACCCCTCTAATGATCATGTTGATGACGTGCTGAGGTTCTTCTTATTCGGTCTATTTGTTGGAGTCCCTGTTCCTGAAGTGGTTTTTTGCTCGATCACTCAGAAATCCTCGGAGATGCCCATTATTGAACAACCAGGAAACTTCTTCTCTCAATTGTCTACAATCCTCGGTCCTATGGCCATGATACTTACACATCATGTTAGGATCTCTCTGGGTAGGGTCGGACTGCAATGGTCGAGGCCACTTGGTTTCTTTGATGCGCCTAATGGCTGATACAATGTTGGTTGCATCAATGTTGAAGTTATACTCTGATAATCATGGTGCTTTCCTTCCCCCGAGCGGCCTGTCAAAACCATTTTTGCTCATCAGACCTCAGCTATTGGGCCCTCGATCGCTTCTCATTTCATTCCTTGTAGAGTTGCGACCATACTCGTTTCCCTTTGATCTACAATGTATGGTTGGTACCGATCTTGGACTGGCCTTGATTCATGATAAACGACTCTCTTAGGTCTGTCGTCGATTCTGATGGGATAAACGGACCCAAAAGAGGCTTTGAGTTGGTCGTCCTCGACTCTGATTTTCGACTGCTACCTGTTGTGGATATCGGCCCAAGTTACTATTGGGTACTCTACCAAGTTTTGTTTCAGCTGCTCCGAAGCCAAGGAGCTTCGGGGGTTAAGTCCCTAAGTAAATGCCTGAACGGCCCAATTGTCTGCAACCGGAGGTAAGTCCATCCGTTCCATTTGAAATCTTGACACGAACTCCCTGAGAATTTCGTTGTCCCTTTGCTTAACCTTGAAAAGATTCGATTTTATGGTCTCGACCTTGATGGCCCCGGCATGAGCCTTTACAAAAGCATCCTCGAGCATAGCAAACGAATCAATGGAATTTGGGGGCAAGTTGTGGTACCATATCATTACTCATTTTGATAGAGTTTTTTCAAACTTCTTTAATAAAACTAACTTGATTTCGTCATCTTCCAAGTCGTTACCTTTTATGGGGCATGTGTAGAAGGTCACATGCTCATTTGGATCTGTGGTTCCGTAATATTTTGGAATATCTGGCATACGAAACCTCTTTGGGATTGGCTTCGGTGCCGCGCTCAGAGGAAAAGGCTTTTGGACAAATTTTTTGGAGTCCTGGCCTTTCAATATTGGAGGCGCTCCTCGGATTTGATCGACCCGGGAATTATATGTCTCTTCCTTCTTGTCGTTTGCCTCAATTCTCTTTTCACCTGACTCCACCCGTTTTGTTAATGCTTCAAGCATTTTTATTACTTCGAGGCTGACACCGGTCTTAGTTTCACCCGACCTTTCGGTGACCTTCGGGCTCGACCTTCCTGGGGGCGCGGCTTTGATTTTGTAGTTGCGCTATCATCGCCTGTTGGGCCTGCAACATTTTGAAGATCACTCGTAGACTGACCCATTCGCCTTCGCCTTCGCCTTTGGGCGCTCCTCGAGCCGTTGGTTGGGCTCCTCCGCGAACGCTATTCTAGGGGTCGGTATGTAGGTTGGCATCGATGGACACGTGCAAGTTAGCATCGACTGGGTCTACAACTGGGACTCCACTGGGATCAGCAAGGGGCACATCTTTGCTAGGCACCAGATTGTTATTTTTGCCATGATGGCCAGACTCAGCCTCAACGTTCAAGTGAGTAGACTGAGAATTTGACATTTTTAAACTGACCTGAAATTGAGACCTTAAAGAATAAGTGTAAAATAGAGTGTGTTATGGAGATTTGTATCAAACCACCACTATTATCCTCAGTCCCACAGTGGGTGCCAAACTGTTTACCCCTAAAACGGATAACAATTAAATTTGTGTGCGGTTTTAAGGATATGTGGATTGATTCAATATAAGTAATCAAAAATGTTAGATAAACGAATTAAAGATGAAACAAATAATCAAACCAGTTATGACGTTGAGTTCGGGCTCGGAATCAAGCTTAATAGTAGTTTTACCCTTGACTGGACCCTCGATTCGAAGCCAAATGTGTATGGAGAACTATGATTAAAATAAGGACCTATCAATGGCTAGAAATCAGAGAAATAAGTTTGTATTGCCTTGATATGCATGTTACAATGTGTCTATTGAATAAGAAACTTCCTCTTTATATAGTAGGGGAGTTTTACCCCTAGTACAATTCTAAAAAAGGTAAAAGTCCTCCTTGTACATCAATCACTGATACGCTACCAACATCAGGAGAGATTCGCGCCATGCTATCCGGTTGAGTGCGGATATCACGACCTTCTGTTGGTCGTGTACAACTGTTTGTAGTGCTTTTCGAGGTCTTGGAGCTCATTCCGGGTTGGTGGGCGTTGTCTTGTCGGGCCTGGTGACGAGCACCCCATTCTAGCCTTGAACCAAAGAGTTCTCAGATTCGGTCTCTATTTCATACATTCATACTTCGTTTGATTCACCGAGAACTCGGGGTGTGTGCTGACCCTGAGTTCACCCGTATACATATTATCTCTCTCTAAATTCCTCTTGCTTTAATTTATTTCATATTATTCCATAACACGTTATCAATACGAAGCTCTAATCCATGGATATTGTCTACTTCGATCTATTTTCTTGAGTAGGGATGTATTTTTACTCGTTCATTCTCATTCGTTTGTTTTGGCTTTCGTTTTATATACTCATATACTTGCTTCGCTTTTTGAGTTATGAGTATGTAGATATAATTTAGTACGTTCCTGAAGAATGCATACCAAGGATCTTGAGGTTGCGATTTAATATTGAAGTCTCACCCCAAATCTTAACCTTGGTTGTCCCTGACTAGAACATGATGAAAAAGATACATGCCCTGCCACGGTGACATGTGACAAAATCAACATAAGGTTGATATTAATAGAGGTGGTTGAAGTATGATTTTCCTTTTCTCCTCTTTACCGTTTCACGTAATATCTTAATGCTAATGCAATTTTGATTATATTTTATCAATATGTATAATTTATTTTCTATTATATTAAAAGATATACTCCTACTCTAGTAGAGTTTGCAATAAATTAAAACCACACGAAGTGGTAAAACCTTTAGGTCTTGTTATGACCAGATTCATGTATAATTATGACCACCAATAATGGAAACCTGTCCCATAAGTCTAAAATAAGACATGATGTTACCATGGAGGTATGAATGGACGTGGACGTGGTAATGAAAAAAATTATAATTGTCATCATTGTGGTAAATGATTCTCAAAATAATCCTTCACTTTGTGAAAGTAATATTTGTCATTGATTTGGCATGAGATTTTATAAAGCACGCATAGATTATTATGTTCCATTCTTGAAGTGAATGTGGAAATAATATGATAATCATTATGAATACATATTCATTCTTGAAAGAATATGAATGTGCTAGTGATAGTGAATATACCACATTCACCTCTAGAAGGAGGTTTGAGATGAAATAAGAAAATAATATCATTATTATGGCTTGAATGGTCATTGGTCACGTACCTATTGTACGTCAAAATATTTTGGCAATGTGATTAATAAAGGACAATAGTAATGCAAGAAACATATCTTGCATATAATTTTGACCATGACCATAATGGTATAACTTTCTCTTAAAAAGAGATATTCACCATATGGATGTTGCTGAATATGTGGTAGTATAAAATTATTTGATAGCTCTGGAAGAGTTAATTATTACTATTTTGGAGGAATGAAATTGATTATCAATAAGGTATTGTGTTGTAGTAAGTCTCAAAGAAACCTATTTAGTTTCTAAAGTATTCGCGAAAGTAGTGGGTTATATTGAGACTATAAATGATAAGAATATCTAATATCTTTATATTACTACACTGTAGCGGGGTAATATGTATATGAAAACTACCCGCTTTATTGCCTGATTTGTACAACACAAGTAAAAAATATGGTGAAATTAGATGACACAGTAAACTAATGATTATTAACATAAAACCCATGTCATAGTAAACTGGGAGTTTAATTAACAACTGCACATGTCATGATGTAAACCTGAAGTTTACTGATACAGACAGTTTTATCAGGCATGGCCTATTGAGCAATATTGATTTAAGTATGATGTGCAAAATAAACGAGAATTCACATGGGTAAGTGTTGAAGAAGATTCTTCATGAATTCTCTTGTGTTGCTTGTTCTCGCAATTATTATACCAACTAAAATTGGGATTGAATCCCTTGAATTCCGAAATTTATCAAAGGTGAATATGGGCCCATTCACCTGCCTTGTAAACCTTATAAAGATGCATCTATGGGATGGTTACATGTGCGTTTATTATCAACCCGCAACATGAATGCCAGGTTTGTTGCTCAATAATTAAATTTAGAGTACAATTTTCAGATTTTCTATTCAAGATAGTCCATCTTGATAAGTTGGTTTATATCACAGTTGGTTTAGCAAAATGATTTATTGAGTACCTTCACTTAATAGCTAAACTATTGCTTATGAGAACAAAGTTATCTATATCAGTTTGATATACATTATATATATGAAATTATATTACATTATCCCCTCACAAGTGGTTCAGGGTCAGTAGCATGACCCGAAATCCCAACCTCGGGGTCGTGATGACGCATAATATTTCACTAGCTAGACAAGCCATCGTTAGTTAATTACTTAACCAGTTTTAACAATTTAAATTAAAATATTAATAATAATAAACTGTGATAGTCTGAAATAGATATGATAAATACCATGTAGCGTAGACTAAACATATCCCAGAAATCTAGAGTCACGAATACATGAGAATCTAGAGTACTACAGATAAAGTCTGAACAAAAATATAACTGTTTGAAATAAGGTAAATAGTAAAAATAGAATGGAAGGGGACTCCAGGTACTGCGACGCCAAAAAATCTACCTCAAGTCTTCTGCCGATAGCCGGTCCGGGCAAGATTTCCTCTACACGCCACTGGGACCAACTCCGGTGTCTACAAAAAAAGTGTAGAAGTGTAGCATGAGTACAACC